CCAATTGGCATCTCACCAACAATCCCTCGGAGCTAACTTGATTTCCCTTTTAAGGGATGCTCCACTAAAACTCGTTCATCATGGCCCTCTGGCCCCATACTCTTTCACATCTGATCTCGGTCTAACCAATCACCACAGAATAACTGGTAGAACCAATAACACTAACTGCCACGGGTCATGGTACTCGAACCATGTGGCCACCTCTCGATCTGCTATGAATCATGGTACCCGAACCATGCTATCTCTTCTCAATCCGCTACGAATCAATGTACTCGTACCATGACATCACCTCTCGATCTGCTACAAATCATGGTACTCGAACCATGGAATCACCTCTCGATCTGCTACAAATCATGGTACACGAACCATGAAATCACCTCTCGATCTGCTGCAAATCATGGTACTCGAACCATGGAATCACCTCTCGATCTGCTACAAATCATGGTACACGAACCATGAAATCACCTCTCGATCTGCTACTTAAAACCTCCGGAATGTTCCCTGTATCGAGTATGGGTCCTCTGCTTTCAGTAGTACGGGCCCATACTACCTGCCACATCTACCCATACTTTCCACACGGACCATCCCCGAGTTCCTAAGTAGCTGCTCGACCTTCTCAATCACCAACCCCGTCATGCGTGTTCGCTCCTCTGCGAAATATCCTACTCTGTCAGCGTACTCATCTGACTAGGGTCACCCTTTCCTAGGCTCTTCCTAGGTTCTCACACTTCTCCGCCATCAGCTGCCGAAGAACTCCTTATGATGCCAGCCATCTACCTCCTGAATATCGTCATATTCACTTAGTAGCTGACTCTCATCATCAAGAGTTCCACAAAGCACGAAGCAAGCAGCATTCGGGCATCGAATAATCTATACCAACATGTAAAACCACTCTAGGTCATTACCCACTTGCTCTCCTCATACTCAAAGGATACCACCGAACCCAAGCAACTATACCCCACGCGGGCATCTGACTACTCCCTCAGTAGACTCCTCAAATGCTCATCTAGGTATCTCTCCTAGATTACTCCTCTACTCAAATCCCTCTCTAGAGGATTCCTGCTGGATACTCTTACTCAGCACATGCTCGAAAGCACATCACAGATAACAGTAACTCCTAGGCTAAGGCATCACAAATCAGGCCACTCTAGTCCTAACATATGAAATACATAGCCTATCTCTAGCATGCATAATATCTCATAGCATATCTCATAAATATCTCATAATACAAACGTAAGGGTATTTTGGGAAATCACCGTTCGGGCTCTGGCTGATTGTACACACTACTCCAACTCGTATTCTTTTAGAAACTCTTGCTCGCTTTAGAAAAATCATTTCTTTGAAAATTTTTCTCAAATCCTCAGTTTGAGTCCAAATTTACCCGAAGGCGCATCCGAATCCCTCAAACCAAGGCTCTGATACCAACTTGTAACACCATAATTTTTCAAACAGATTTTTCATTTTAAAATCGCATACTTTTCATAACATATTGTATAGAAATCTCGTTTATTCAAATTACAAAGCACAACTCCATTAATAATCCAAGATCCTCAAAATATAACTCTTTCTCTGGTGTGTACAATCAAGCCGGTGCCGTCCCGCGATCCCGAGAAAACCCGAAACACATAACACATAACACGGTAAGCACAAAGCTTAGTGAGTTCCCCAAAATACCACATATAACACGTATTAGCCACTCGAGGCTATAACTCTGTGGGCCTACTGGCCCTAACTCTGTCGACCCTCTGGTCCTAGCTCTGTGGACCTTCCGGTCCTAACTCTGTAAACTCTGGAATACACACAACATAAATCACATAGAAATAATGCAGTGCAACATATCACATACATAGCATATAAGATACTCTGTCACATAACTCTACTTACCACTCAAGGTAAAGTATAGTGAGAAGACTCACCTCGCATGATGTCGGATACCCTCTCGTGCTCGATAACCCGACCTAGCCTCCTCCTATCAAAATGATAACATCTCTAATAAAAATCCTCTCATGTTCTCATCCCTAATAATGGGTAGAAGACCATTCTACCCCTCTCTGACCTCTCTTGAATCAGCTTGATCAAAACCCCAAGGTCAACTGAAGTCAACTCTAGTCAACGGTCAGACTTTGACCAGACTCGTCGAGTGCACTCGAGTGACTCGGCGAGTCTATGCGTGTCCTATGAATCCTCAAAAAGCCTCACTCGACTCATCGAGTTAACCTTTCACTCGACGGGTTACCACTGGTCACGAATCGCGGGGCAACCCGACTCGACTCATCGAGTCCCCATATGGACTCGGCGAGTTCCCTCCATGGCAACACTCAAAAGACCTTTTGAGGTCAGATCTGTTTCTCTAACTTATAGATCTGACCTTCTTACACCCAACAATCACGTAAAGGTTCAACCTTTAAGCTCATGCAACCCTCTTATGCCCTTATATGAAGAAATAGCTCCTAAAATGGCAACCTAGATCCATAACCCCAAAGGGACTGCATAAAGCTGGAAGATTGGGACTCTCTGGACCTCTTAAGGTCCAGATCTAAAGCTTATTCCACATTGGGACCTCATATGCATCATATACTATCCAAGAAAGGGTAAAGAAAACCCTAGATTCAAGGATTTTACACAAAAACAGAAGGAAGGGGCGAAATACTACCTCAAAATGCAGATCCTTGCTTAGATGTCTCAGGATAACAACCTCATTTGGTCCCTCAAGCTGAATCCCTTCACTTCATTTGAAAAACCACACCAAAATTACTTGATTTCATCACAAGAACTCTTCCTTGGCTCCAATGGCGATTTAGGGTTTCTCACAGGAGATATGAGGCGCACCTAAGGTCATAAGTTCCTTTAAATAGGCTCCAACCCCGAAACTTAGGGTTTTCTCTGCCCAGTACCTACTCGGCGAGTTCATCCTTGGACTCGTCGAGTCCGCTCATTAGGTCCACGCGACAATCTCGACTCGACTCGGCGAGTTGGTCCCTCAACTCGTCGAGTCCCTCCTCAAATCTCAAGATTAACATACACAATAATGTCCCTGGAAATCCGGTTGTTACAACAACCCCCAAAGTAGAGTGTATGAAAAGTATCAAATTAGGTTTTGGGCTTCACGAGTGAGTTTTTATTTGAATTTTTGTTTTTGAAATGAATAACATGTATATCCTTAAACTTGAAGTTACAAGATACATCGAGAATTGATTACATAGAGACAGAATTTCCTAGCCAAAATGCTAGTTGTGACACACTTGTTAATTCAGTTCTTAATAGTCTTTTTCTTTATCATTTCTCTATTTCATGCTCCAAGAAAGATTATTAATTTATTTTAAGGTATTAGAAGGGTTTCTTATGGGGAGGTGATGAGGACAAATATAAGATAAATTGGGTAGCTTGGTAAGTGGTCAATAAACCAAAAAATATGGTTTGTCTGGGTATTAGATGTCTTATTCGACTAATTAGCCCTTCTTGCCAAATGGTGGAGGCGGTTAAAAAGTGGTATGAGTCTTTTGGTTCTCTTAAATATTCATAATCTCAAGCTTATTTATTAAAAACATTTAGCTAAAAGTTCTATAAACGGTGTTTGGTTTGATATTTCTCAAGTTGATATGGAGTTAGGGGATAAGTGCATTTCACTTTCATTAAAAGGGTGGTTGGCATTGATAACAAAACGTATTTTTTGAAGGACATTTGGTGTGGTGATTTAGATTTTAAAGAGATTTGTATGTGTTAGAGATAAATAAGGACCGACTAGTCATGGAATGGTCAAGGCGGTTGAGAATGGGATGGGAGGCTACTCAAGACTCGGTTCTGGTAAACTTATTAGTTAACTTTGAGTTTACAAAGGGGTGTGACAAATGGCAGAGAAGGGGCGGTGATGATGATGGAGCATTCTCAGTCAAATCTTTAAGGTATCTTATTAGCAAGTAGGGTAATGATGATGTGAACTTGTTTAATAGGGTAAGGTGGATAATGTTAAAGATTAATTGTATTGTGTGGCATATGATCAAAAACAAAATTCCCACTTTCCAAACTTGATTAAATATGGGATTGTTGTTTATTCAAGCTAATGTCCTTTTTATCGATCCACATAAGAGAGCCTTGATCATGTATTTCTTTTAATGTTGTTTTGTCTTAGCTTCGTGAAAGTCGTTGGTTGACCGGTCGGCTATCTTTAAGGAACAACCTTCATGTTCTAAATTATTGGAGATGGTAAACTCAAGAGATGGTGGTAAAAGGATTCAAAAGTTGAAGTTGTCTCTTGTTTACTCCACTTTATGGATGAAATTGAAGGCACGTAATGCCATTGTTTTCAGGAATGAAAGGCGAGCGGTAATGCTTATGGAAGATGATATTAGGATTAACACACTCAGTTGCATTAAGAATAAATCTAAGATTTTCAAGATTGACTGGTCCGTTTGGTGTATGTCCCTTATTTCGAACTTTATCTTGTAGTATGGGTTGATCTCCTCGCTTGAGTCTCTGTTTTTTTGTGCTAATATATTTGTTCACCGTTCCAACATTGTTCCATTTGACCTTCTGTTCTTGAGACTTGGTCAATGCCACTATACGAGGGACAACGTGCATATATATATATATATATATATATATATATATATATATATATATATATATATATATATATTCAAATGATCCTATCTATATATAGGGCTAATGCTACCAAAGTCCCATAACTTAAGGCCATATTTCTAATTTGCCACAACTTTTGTTTTTCTCCTATAATGCCACACTTAATGAGAAAACTTACCATATTATTAATGACATCCGATCACCAATAGGTCAAACCCTCTTTCCAGTTACCATTACATTCGAGTGTCACCTTCTTGAAAAGAGACGAACATCCCACATACTTACTTCACCTTTTTCAAAACGTCACACCAAGAAAGAGGATTGCAGAGGGTTTTACCTGATAAGGTTAGGGTTTTTTTTCATAAAAATGTCATAACTAATGAAGCAGTTGAAGACGTTGAAACGGTTTAAGCATTGAAATGGCATCTACATCAAAGAAAAGGAAGGAGAAAGCACCTGATAAGTCATACATTCAAGATGAAGAATCTGATGACGACATGCTTAATTTAATCTTGTTGGACTTCGAACTAGAGACCTTCAAACCAACATCTAATGAGTCGAATGATTTGTTTCTCAACTTATTATGTGATGATAACTACAATGGGTGGGGCATGGGAGATGAAGGCACTGATGACCACAATGATGCTAATGAGCAATGTCATTTTGAAGATAAAAAAGGAGTTTAAGTGGGTGTCGAATATAGAGTTCATGATCCCACTATCAAATGGAACAAAATGGAGCCACATGTTAGAGAGATATATAATCCCCATTACAGTCAAGTTTTGCACTTACTAACTACGTTGTAGCAAATGGCTACCGACCAAGGTTTGTGAAATCTGATAGAGTTAGGGTTATTACCACATGTGTTAGAAAAGAGGATAAGATACCATGTCCCTTTAGAGTGTATGGTACATGGATGTATATTGAAAGATCATTAAATATTAAATCCATGATTGAAACACACCTTTGTGCTAGAAATTACAACTATGGGTATCTAGTTAGTCACAATTGGTTAGCACAACACTATCTAAAAGATATAGTAAGGAAGCCTAACATGACATTTCCCTAAATGAAAGAAGATACCCTTGTCAAGTTTTCTATCAATGTGTCAAAGGGTCAATGCCACATGGCAAGGGTAAGGTCTAGAGAGATGATTGAGGGTAAGCTTGAAGAACATTATGCCAAGGTCTAGGATTATACAAGTGAAGTACTGAGATTAAACCCAATAAGTATATGTAAAGTTAGGATCACTATAAATCTAGATGGTAGGAATTACTTTAAAAGGTTCTATGTTTGTTTTAAGGCTTTAAATTATGCTTGGATTAGACGTTGTAGGCTATAGGCGAGACTACGTTAGTCTCAAGTGTATCCATAGAAACCCCTGAGTTTGGAATTTCTATTATAAATTATTTAAAAATTTTCATATGGGCACCCATGGACATCACAACATTATCACACCCTCGGTCGGCGGCGGAAACACCGAGTTGTGCAACGTTTGATTGATTATCGAAACCATAAGACATAAAGCCAACAATATGTAATATTTGTTTAAACAAAGATTACATTGAATGTTTTACATGTCCTGAACTATCTACTTTCTTGCGTCTTGTACTCCCTTTGGAATGATCTTCTCTTTTTCGGCTTCATAGGAATAATGTTGGTGAGTTCATAGGTTTTTATAGTATGCTTGAAAATACTCGATTGCAAAAACATAGATTCTTTGTTTTTGAATATAGGATTTCGTTATTTCCTTTTTATGCTTTAAGACAATAAGGAGTGCTACTTTTCGCATCTTGGATTTATCTTTATGATGACATTCTCTCTTTATCTCGTCTCTTCATTTCTTCATAAAGGTTTGGATTTGTACACTCGATTAGTTTCGAGTAGGTATTTGATAGCATACTCAGGAAAGTATCTATCATTTACTTTTGTAGTCGTTTATTTGGGTGTATATTATTTATTTTTAAGATAAATTATTTTGTTTCGTTTATCTTAGGGGTTTTTTACTCATTTTACTTTGTTGATACATACTATTACTATTTTAAGGTGTTCCCATTTATATAGTTTATTTTATTAAGGTTGGCCGAGCATATTTTATAATGAGTTCCTGTAATCGAGTTTTTGACTAGATATTTGCCCCGCAAAACGCGTCATCGGACATTGTACTATAGTTTAGAAAGTTATGTCTGTTGTGACTTTACCATCAGGGGTTGTAGCTAGCAACCACAGGTGGGAGTGTCAATCCCATATAGATCTATACATATCTTTCTCTCTCACTTAAGATTTAACGATTATAGCCATGATAGGAATAAAACCTTAAAGATCGAATAGATTAAAACAGGTAAAGAGCTCAATATGATCAAACTGGTGCTGAATGATTAATAGTCACGCCTCAGAAGAACTCGATGAAGAATTGCTTCTGTAGAGGTGTAGATTAGGGTTACAAAGATATATCCAAAACTTAACTTAAATACGTAGCATGCATGCACCTTATATACTATAACCCTAACATTAAATACGAGTGGACAGGCCCAACTGGTTTATACAAAATGGACTAGACAAAACAGGCCCAATGACGCAATACTAATGTCTTCAATAATATCCCCCTTTGTGTCAATTGAAACCATAGCCATTTTAGTTTGTGATTTGCTTCTGCACTTCATAGACTTTGGGAATAAAACTCAACAGCAGCTTGCGAACATGAATGTACCAAGTGATCACATCAGTGAAACACTTCACATCATCTTTGTTGTTGCCCTTAAACTTCACAACAAGCTCCAAAATAAACTCCAGACAAGAAGTAGTAAACAAGTGTTTGTCTTCAAGATGAAAGAATAACTTGTGTCGATCTGTTCCTGGAGGATCTCTAGCCGTGTATACCACAAACCATCCTTCCTTGTAAATCTTTCCTGGCTTGAGCTTCTGGAAGTCTTTCGGAGCTTCTTTTGGAACAACACTTGGTTTTTGCCTCAGAACCGTGGCAATTTCCACATCCATGATTCCAACTTCCTGAATGTAAGACTTGATCAAAATTTGAAGATGAGCAAACACAGGTTCGTACTTCTCCTTCTCTTGCAACAAAATATTGAATATCACCATCCAATCATGGGGGTTCAATCAAGACAGATCTGCGAGAGTGAATTCGCAGGATTGACATGCAGATCCTCTCGCAACTTTAAACTTCGCATTAGGGAAGCTTTCAGTCTCGATTGGCCCAGTAACCTTCACAACTACAATTTTGCTCGCACTCCAGGTTTCGTACTGGGGCTTCATATGTTTCTTAATAGAAGGCAAACAACAGTTGATCCCCAGTGATGTCTGAGAAAGGTACATTAGAAACCTTTATAAAGACACGAAACCTGAACGCCTTTGGTGTGATAGGAAGGTCTAACTACAAATCTTGTGTATTTTGGACATCAAAGGAAGCAATAGGATCCAACCAATACTGACTTGGCATATCCACAGCTTGGTTTTGCATGCGCTTCAGAGTCCACTTTGGAAATAATAGCATTTTGTTTTTAAGAGTGGCCTGAGCTTCCTTTTCGGCTCTTTATTTTTCCTCAGCCTCCTTGACGATACGAGCATTTTCATCCAACTCTGCTTCACGAACCTTCCGCCTTTTAAGCTCAGGTTCTTCGTCTTCGTCATTGTCAATAATGGGTTCATTACTAAATAACGTTTCCTTTTCCTTTGGATCTGACTTGATGACAGGAGGTTTAACTGAAACTTTGGGGTTGTCATCATCTGTTTGAACTTTAGAACTACCTTCTCCCCCTTGTTTCGGAAAAGACATCGGCGTTGAAACACCCTCCAAACGGTGCAACATTGCGAACACCGGTCGTAGCTTTTCAGCCAAATGCTTTCGTACTGTGATGGAAATCATGGGATCACGGGTCTCAATGATATCAGAGAGCAGTCCATTAACATCAGAAATAGAACTTCGCATGACTTCTTTCTCTGCTAGCAAATCATCGACCCTCTTTTCAGTGTATTGAAGCTTGGTTTCCAACACCTTACATTTTTCCTCTTTGACTGCGAGGGCATCCATGATCTTGTTCTCCATCGCCAAGTCTGCTTGAAGCTTTGTGAGTTTCGCATCAATAGAAGTCTGGAATGCTTCATGATCGGACTTGAACACGGTGCAAAGTTCAGTAAAGTTCGCCTTTTCTGCTTGGAACATGGCACCAACATTCTGAATTGCCTTTTTTGTTGTTATGGTATTGGCGTTGTAGGTAACCTGGTAGGCTTCCATGAATTCCCTTGTGTCAGCAATTAGTTTATCAACTTTTTCTGTCGTTTCCTTGCAAACAACAGCAGAGTCAGAAACTGCCTTGGATAAAGTAGAAGTGTTGGCAGTATGTTCCTTTGTGACTCTCTCATGGATTGACTTAACTGCAGCTTTGGAGTAAGCTTCAAAAGTGGAAACGCTGGATGCGAGAAGCAGCTGATCAAGCTTCTCATGAAGAGATTTGAATTCCGCTTTCGGAGTAGAGACATCATCTTCATTGTCAATCCTTATTTAAAAAGGACTATAAGTGAATCCTTCCAAATCATCAGCGTCAACATCTCCGAAAATCATTTGCGGGTCATCTTTGCGAATGGGAGAGATGGGTGGTGTGACATGAGTTGAAAAACCTAAAGTGTTAGCCCGCGTATCAGATACGTTGACTGAACTTTCAGGTGCAGTAGAGGTTTGAGGTGGAACTGTGGAATCCGTGAAAATAGGTATGGAAACTGGAATAGTTGTGGGTGTTTGAGTTGATATAGGTGGTGGGAGAGGAGCAATGGTGATTGGTATAGAAGTAGTTGTTTTTGGTGAGGGGGGTGGTGAAAGAACAGAATCATGAAGGGGTGGAGTTACCTCACGATTAGGAAGCGAGGTCTTAGTGCGAACTTGTGCTTCTTCCTCATTGCGAACGTGTTCTTGTTCTTCAGTGCGAATGGTTTCATCTTCCTCATTGCGAACAGGGGGATCCTCCTCAATGCGAATCTCCGACTCGGTATCGGAATCTAAATTTCCGCCTTCACTCTAAGATGGAGTAGGATTGGGAGACTTTCTCCTTCTAGCGGGTTGCTTCCTTCACTTTAGTGTAGCAGTAGAAGTAGTAGGAGCCTTTCACTTCGTAGATGGAGGTTTTGGAGCCTCAGAAGTTCCTTCTTTCTTAGAATCTTTATTGGTAGTTCTCTTGGACCCTTTGCCCCCTTTCTTGGGTTTATCAGCCTCAGCCAAAATGGGTTGGAACTCATCAGTTAAAGGACGAGGTCCTGAAGGAGTAAGAGCACGATATCCTTCTAGAATTTTACTTGAGGGAGGAACATCACGAAACATTGCTTTCGGAATTGAGCCAATGAAAGAGAACTTGGACTTATCTGCCATAATAATACCTGTTGTATGGAATGTCGCAATGGGAGCCATCAGTGCATCAGTCATCACTGTAATTTTGAGCTGCTTAATAGCCCTGTCGACAACAACGGTCCAAAATCTCGCACAGGAGATCTCACTGTGACGAGTAACAGAGTGAGTGCTATGGATGAATTGAGCCCAGAGGATAGAACCATAGTCTATGTTTTCACTAGTGTAGAGGCTATACATCAGACCCATGAAGAGCCTGCTTGCACAGTCGTTGTCTGTGACCCTTTCAGAAAAGGATTTGAACAAGATGGTGAAAAGAGCGTTCTAAGTTGG